GGTTCCCAGCCAGAATTCAGGTTTTTGGGGAGGTTCCCAGCCGGAATTCAGGTTTTTGGGGGAGGTTCCCAGCCGGAATTCAGGTTTTTGGGGGTTCCCAGCCGGAATTTTGGGGTGCCCAGGTTCTCGGTGGCCGGGGACACGCTGACCGTGGCCGGGGTGGATTACCGGGACCAGGGCCGGTTCCGCTGCCGCGCCTGGACCCGCCTGGACGCCGCCGAGGCCGAGGCCGAGCTCCGGGTCGTGGGTGAGCCCCAAAATCCCCGAGGGGACCCCAAAATCCCAGAGGGATCCCAAAATCCGAGAGGGGACCCCAAATCCCAGAGGGACCCCAAAATCCGAGAGGGATCCCAAATCCCAGAGAGATCCCAAATCCGAGAGGGACCCAAAATCCCCGAGGGATCCCAAAATCCGAGAGGGATCCCAAATCCACGAGGGGATTCCAAAATCCTTGAGGGGACCCAAAATCCGGAGGGAACACAAATCCCAGAGGGGACCCCAAAATCCCAGCGGATTCCAAATCCCCGAGGGGATCCCAAAATCCATTAGGGACCCCAAATCCGGAGGGAACACAAATCCCAGAGGGATCCCAAATCCCTGAGCGGATCCCAAATCCCCAAGAGGATCCCAAAATCCTTGAGGGGAACCAAAATCCAAGAGGGATCCCAAAATCCGAGAGGGACCCAAAATCCCCGAGGGATCCCAAAATCCTAGAGGGATCCCAAATCCCAGAGGGATTCCAAATCCACGAGGGGATCCCAAAATCCCAGAGGGATCCCAAATCCCCGAGGGGACCCCAAAATCCCAGAGGGATCCCAAAATCCCAGAGGGATCCCAAATCCACGAGAGGGATCCCAAATCCACGAGGGGACCCCAAAATCCCAGAGGGATCCCAAATCCACGAGGGGACCCCAAAATCCCTGAGCGGATCCCAAATCCACGAGGGGATCCCAAAATCCCAGAGGGATCCCAAAATCCCAGAGGGATCCCAAATCCCAGAGGGGACCCCAAATCCCAGAGGGGATCCTGAAATTCGTGAGGAGACCCCAGAATCCACCAGGGGACCCCGAAATCCAAGAGGGAACTCCAGAATTTGTGAGGGGACCCCAAAATCTATGAGGGGACCCCAAAATCCGAGAGGGGACCACGAACACCGAGAGGGGACCCTAAAAACCGCAAGGGGACCCCGAAACCCGTGAGGAGACCCTGAAATCCAGGAGGAGGCCCCAAAAACCCCAAATTCCCCAATTTTTCCCCAATTTCCCCCAATTTTTCCCCATCATTTTCCCATTTTTTCCCTTTAATTCCCCATTATTTTCCCCATTAATTCCTGATTATCACCCCGTTAATTCCTCATTAATTTCCCCATTAATTCCCCAATTTCCCCCCCCTTTTTCCCCAATTTCCCCCCAATTTCCCCCATTTTCCCCCCAATTTCCCCCCCAATTTT